CTGGTGCAAATTACTGACCTCTGTCATCATTTTAGGTGGGGGAACTTGCACAATCGGTGGCTGACTAAATACTTTTTTGCCCCACTGTATGTGCGGGCGGGGCCGTGCGCGTGTCATCACACGTCATCTGCCGTAAAGGCGTGAATAAAGGTTTCTTCAGCCAGGACACGCGAGGGCGTGATATCCCATACTTATGTGTTGTACCTCGTTCCTCTCCTTCAGGGAACAGAAGTTATAGACATAACTAATCGTTTTAGATGCTTAATTAGATAAGCCTAGAAGTTTAAAAACCTCATACTGAATATTTACTGCAAATGTGTTTAACGATGTCCTGTACCTTTCTGCGTGTGTCATTTTAAAGGAAGTTATGTGTATGTGAAATAACACAGAGCCTTTGTAATAACAGTGATACAGTTCTACAGTGTGTCAAATAAACCTGCTGTTTATGCTTGTCGTGTCTACGCTGTGAGATAAGTATAAGAAAAACATCCAGGTAGAGCACGAAGGCAATCGACGCTTTAGTACCTCTTTAACGTTGGCAGCTAATGTCCAAGGCATTTTAACTTTATTAAGTCATGATACATCTTACAGTATATGTATACTCTACTTAATCCTAGGAGGACAGCAAACTAATCAATTGCATTATTGATCTTCTTTAGTGTACCTAGCAGCCTGCGGCGAGACGCTCAATATAGACTTCACTTTGCCTTTCAATGAGTTTGTTCCAACCACCTGCCATACCCGCTTCAGCTTAAAGGTGAGTGAATCGGTTTATAGTTTATTCCAAAAATAAATATCCAATAGAGAACTATTTTTTTTATGTAGTTGTAAAGGATTTTCTTGTTTAAAAAACATTTCAAAGCAGTATTTTATAGATACAGATTTATTTGCTCTTTACTCACAAATGTGACTCCAGAACATGTGTGGGTGCATTAATGTTCGCGTACTTTGTCCTCCTCAGGCGGAAGATACAGACATGCGACTTTCCCTGCCAGAGTGCCATCCGAGCCGCTGCCCCTTGCTCACCCTGGCCAAAGACTACCAGAACATGAAGCTGCCCCCAGACATGTTCATGCCGGGGGAGAATCAAGGAGCTCCTCCTCCGAAAGCCGCCAAGTCGAGGTGGAGGAACATCACCCGCGCAGAGTGAGTTAAGGCCAGGAATCATTTCTCTCTAGTTGTGGGGGAACAAAGTGAGTGCGTTAGCAAAGAGTATGATGACTCACCACCGTAACATCTCTTACTTCTGAGGTAAAAAGATAGTAGGTGGTAATTTCAAGTAAGAGTAGCACTAACCTGCACTTTTCATGCTGTGGTCTGATCAGTTGTTGCTGCCATGTTGGTTTGAAGTGACATGAAGTAGACTTTGTTTTAATGGAGCTCGTTTCTACTCAGAAAAGGGACCTTTTGAGAAGCATGAATACATCTTATGCAAGATGAAGCTGCAGTTGTGTGCCATTTAAGTCAAAAGTAATAAATACAGACATTAAAAATTAAAAATAAGCCTTGCACTGTTGCAGTCATATCTTGTTATTTCATGAACAGTAATTGTAAAAGCGTGGATAGCTTACAGATATCACATCTCGCAAACCCTCCGTTTTTTTTTTTTTGTGTTTTTTTTTTGTTTGTTTTTTTTGTTTGTTTTAACCCCCGAGGGTGTTTCTATTCTCGATTTAGGAAATATCACCACTCTTACTTACATATCTCGTGTTCTGAGATATTTTAGGGTGTCTTGCATGCACATGTTTAAGGGCTGCACATCAAATTTTTAGTGATGTTCAAAGCAGAGTAATGCGCGGGCTGTTCCAAAAGCTTCAGTTTGTATTTCTTGAAGTAGGTGATGGGGGATTCTGAGGTCTCCTTTTTTTTCTTTACGCCATTTCTTTTTATTTATTTTTTTTAGTTTATTCACTGCATGAATTAAGATTTGAATCCAGAAATGGCGTGATACATGTTTTCCTTTTTGTTTTGTTTGCTGTGGAACAACCTCAAAGATTTTATACCCACATTTTTAAAAAGGCAGCAAACTGTTCTTGTCATCAACTGTTATCCTTTTCTCTCCCCACGGAGCTTTGTTTTAATACAGTGCCTCAATTCTTACCTGCATCTGGTCACAGCACTTGTTTCCAAAATGATTCTACCTTCTGTGCAGATGTTGTTTTCTTCTGATGACATAAAGAAGTGGGGTGCTGCTGCTGTACTATCTAAATGTTCTTATATGTGTAAGCCTTACCCAAGCATTGTACTGGTCTGAGGTGGAGAGGAGAGAGCGGAGCGGGAAAAGAGAAACTGCGATTAATGGTCAAGCTATTGTTCCGTGTACGGCCACAAGCTGTGGGTAGTGACCGAAAGAAAGAAATTGCTGAAATGAGCTTTCACCAAAGGGTATCTGTGGCTCTCGGTTAGCAGTAAGGTGAAGAACTCGGTCATTCGAGAGGAGCTCAGAGTAGAGCAGCTGCTCCTCCACATCAAAAGGAGGCAGCTGAGGTGCTTCAGGTGTCTGAGTACTATGCCCCCCAGATGAGGTATTTCAGTCGTGGCAAACCTGCCCAGGATACACTGGAGATATTGTCTCTTGGCTGTCATGGGAAAGTCTCTGTCCAGTTAGAGGGGTTGGTGCAGGTGACTGAGGAGACGAAGGTCTGGTTAGACTCCTAGCCTCACAAAGATGTATGTATGGATGTGTAGCAAGGTTTAAAAGCTAACTTACCTATTTATCAAGCTTCAAATTTATCTTGTATTGTGATATTTTGTACAGTAAATGCTTTACTTGTCAAAACTCATCAGGTTATGTGTTTTGCTCACATTAGAGCTGTGTGAGATTAGTATTGACAAACTAGGAATTGAGCCTGGGCTTGTTATGCAAATGTGTAAACCACTCGGTCAGTGGGAGTTTAAAGAGATTGTAAAGATCCTTTGCTATTTAGGCAGCACATGCACATGCCTTGTGCACTGGCTACATGATAACCAACATCCAGATCATTTATTATACATGACCCACAGGCGCAGCACTGTCAGACACCCAATAACCCCCTGGGAGGTTACGATCGAATACTTTCTGAGCCGGCACGCTGTGTGCTACCGAGAAATCAGGCGTGACCTATTTGCTGCGTCTGCTGTGTCCTCGGATGAACGGGTCATGAAGCAAACGATAAAGTGTAAAATCCATCTGAAATGGTGATAAAGCATTATGACTGTGCTCTGAGTGTCCGTGTTTCTCGTCCTTACATCAGATCTGGTTGGGTAGATTGCTGGAGTGTGCCCAACTTTTTGCTTATCATTGACTACACCTGGCACCCCATTTATCCCCAGAAGGCTGATGAGCAACTCAAACAGTCATGTAAGCTAACTGCTCAGTATGAGTTCTTTAAAATCTGTCATCATTGTTTACATTCATGTGTAGATACTGTTGTTTTACCTCGCTCTGATTATTTTCCCAGTTTCTGAGATGGAGGAATCCATGCTATCGGCCTTGCGGCCCCCAGAACACACCTCAGTGGCTCACACATCTGCTTCAGCGCCCCACAGTCGGGCAACCACTGACCCCTCAGAGCTGCCCCCTGACAGACTTCATGTGGAAATGGAAATGTCACCAGATTCTCAAATAATTCTCTATGGGCCTTTGCTCCGAGCTCTGATTTCCATCAAGGTACCGAAATTCTTACTATGACTTACTATGTAGTCACTGAACCAATTTATTAATAGACACTTCATAACATAAGCACCAAGTAAGCATAAGAGGAATGAAATCATGAAAAAGTTGCCCTTTTTTTAAAACAATTTTCTAATCCCCCTCATATTTTGTTCTCACAGGAAAATTATTTTGGCGAGGATGACATGTACACAGACTTCGAGGAAGCCGTGTCGAGCCCTGTGTTGTCCACTTCTACTTCCTCGGGCCTTGGCTGGTCTCCACTGGGAATGGAAGACAGCGAACATAAAGAAACCTCAGACATCCATCCCCTTGACCTGCGGCCCTGGGACATCACCGTGCTCATTAACCTCTACAAAGTTCACGGCCGGCTGCCAGTGGTAAGACTGATGACACAAGTAGTTGAGAACGAGGGGTGGGGAGCAGAGTTAGTGCACAGAATATGGTTATGAAGCATTTGCTCACTGCAGTGGGAAACAGTCAAGTGTAAGACGAACAAAATAAGCCATTTTTAAAGTATAGTAATCAGTTACTAAATATTGTGTTTTAATTGGTAAAAGAAAAATGGAAGAATGTAAATTTGCATCAGGTAGACAGATTGTATACCTTCGATAATATACATTAATTATCTTTGATCAGTAGGTTTCCATCAGTGTGTGTCTGTGCTGATGACTCAGTATGTTTGCTTACTGTATCTGGGCTCTACAGCACTGCAGCAGCGAGGGTCCCGAAGCTCCATCCGGCTTCTTGGAGCGGCTGTGTTTTGAGATGAAAAAGGGCTACAAGGAGACAAAGCTTCAGCTGCTCCTGTCCCCTGTTCACATCTTTGTCAGTGACAACTACCAGGTATTAGACTGACCTACCTGCTGACGCTAGGCTCCTGTGTTTTATGGAGTTTCCTAAATATATAAGTATTAGACTAGATCTGATTGGTCTTAGACACTTCTAGTCCCATCTTTGTGTATTTCCAGCAAACAATTCTTCTATTTCACTCCCTCTACGCCTTTCAGTGACGCATGGCACCTGCATCTTAGTGCTACACTATTTTTGGACTCCCAGACCACATTCCTATTTAGAGGGCTGTCCTGCAGGAGAGCACAGAGTTACACTTTATCATGTTAATGCAGCTATAGTGAGTAAACATAAATGAATAACTGAAGTTAAAACAGCATTAGAGCACATCTGCTCAACTTCTCAGTATTTCAGCTGAACCTTCAGATTGTTTTTATACAAGCTAAGATTAAGTATCGTCACAACAGGCTAATTCGATACATTAAGTAGATCTTAATCACTGGTTGGTGAATACTATGCAACTCATGTCTACCTTTGTGGTTTTTAAAATATTTTAAAATATTTACAGAAAATTTATATCGTTATCGGGACGATAGATGTCTTATATTGGGATATGAGATTTTGGTCATATCGCACAGCCCTAGTGTCCACACACATATATGTTTGTTTGTTTTCTTCTTCTTCGTCTTCTTCTTCGTCTTCTTCTTCGTCTTCTTCTTCGTCTTCTTCTTCGTCTTCTTCTTCTTTTTAAATATAGATATACAGCTTTAGTTTAAGAATCTCTGTCCTCATGAAAATCCAAACACCTTTGTCAAGTTCTGTCAAGGAAACAACAGGTGATGATATAACCCCTAAGAAATGTTGGCCTATTGGCAGCCTGATGGAGCAGTAACACAGTGCACAGTCTGATGTCAGATAAGGAGAGGTGTAAGTCTTTGTTTGTCATGTCCACATGTAAATGCAGAAACTGAGTTTGTGAAAATCTCCACACTGGAAGGTGTTTTTCAAAAGCTGTTTACCCAAATGTGGACAATAAACTGAGACGTCCAGGGTGCTGGTGTAATTTACTTTTCTCATACTAATCACATTTGGCCAAAGTTCTTTAACTTAAGCAAATTCTGCCATTTCTTCACTCTTTCCTTTAAACTGACAGCAGTTGTGTTTTGTAGTATTTTCAGTGCAATTTTGCTATTAACTTGAATTTATTCAGATATTACTTGAAACCACTTAAGTCAAGCAACTATATGGCTTTGCATTTTAATTGAGTCAGCAATAAAAAAACAAACTGACTTTTTTTAAAAATTTAGGCTGAAAGGGCAATTCAGTCCTTCAAAAACCATAAAAGCTGCTGTAGATGTTGCATAATGTGAATCGCGCTTGCTATAGCCGCATATTTACATAAGCAGCTGCATATTGTGCAACTGCACAGAATTTGTAATCTTTAGCTGTGTTAGATCCTATTTGCTGCTGAGTTAATAACTTTCACTAATCCTCAACAGAGAATGTGTTTTCATCTCCCTCCCTTGGCTAGATAATATGCACTCTTTAAATCTGGAATACGGAAAATCTGGAGGCTTATTAAAGAACGTTGTCACAGGTTACACGTTAGGGGGGAAAAAAAGCATCGTGTCATATCAATTTATGATGGTTTTGTAAGTGCAAATCCTTTCTTTTGTGACAGCGTCCCACAGCTGATGGGGTGTTGAGAGACGGCCACCTGAGTCTGTCTGGCCTACAGATGAGGGCCCATGCCATGTTCTCCGCTCAGGGCCTTCCTCTGGGCAGTGACACACTGGAGTATGCATGGCTTATTGATATGCAGGCTGGGGGGCTCACTGGCAGGGTCACTGTTCCACAGGTGTGTGAGTCTGTTTTATTAACTGGAATTAAACACCAGTACAGTAGAAATCAAACCCGCGTTTGCAAATTTTAAAGAAATGTGCACATTTTTACTTAAAAGCTTGTCAGAGTGTGCTGTGCTTTAATGTTTTTCATGCTTCAAACCCCCGTAATCACTGTATCTATTTTATTTTCTTGTTACTGTTTTTCGTGGTGATTATTTAGGTGGCCAGCATGATTGAGTGGGCTAAGACTTTCCTTTTCCACGTGTTCTCCCGGGATTTCCAGCTAGAACAACCCAAGCCCTCTGTCATCTGCCAGCACGGTGTTGATCGTCGCATCTGCGATGCCAAGGTGCAGCCAGACAGCATACAATGAAATACTGCGTGATATTTGAGGCTCATTTCTAAACACATTTTCACTTTCTCTGCTGTCAGGCTCCGGTTTGAACTAGTTAGCAGTCGTGTGTCTGAATTGCTTACTGGAAGCTGCTAAATTAGATCATTATGGCTGATGGCTGCTTTTTGTGAGATTTGAATGCTGGTCCGAGCTGTCCTTTGTGAAATGAAATGTTCAAATGAGACCAGAAAATAAACTGAGACCACTTTGAGCCTTTCTTTAATGATGCATGACTCAGAAAGTGCACTTTTTCTCACAGAAAAACAAAGTCTGAGAAAAAAGTCTAACCCGTATCTATTTATCTGCTTGGAACAGCTGTACATACACAGCACCATGATGTATAAAATGATGGAACATGTCTCACAAAGTGTCTTGTCTGTATACGAATACTAACAAGGATATTTTTGAAAATGCTGCCTAAAAGCCCTCATTAGTGTCTAAGCCACTATGTCTACAGGCTGTACAGCAGTATTTAAAGCATAGTCTAACACTAAACAGCAGCTTGGCTTTTAGTAAAGGTTCAAAAGTTTCTGCTACTAAATGATGGTTGTCTTTCAGTTGAGCTGCCTCCCCGGTCACTGTCGCACATCCGAGGAGCTGAAGTACACCATGACCCGCCTGGCCATGGATGGAGTTGACCTCTTCATTGTCGAGCATGGCTGTGCTGCCAGTATCAAGGTAATGAGCGTAAAAAAACCAAAACTCTGAAGCTATAACTGTTTAACTTCAGAATGTTTCTTTTTCTATACTTTTTGAGGATCTTCTCTGTTTTCTCTCTTCTTCCCCACCTCCAGACGGGCATTATTCGTGTAGCCAACTGTAACCTGCACAACCAGGCAGTGGGCGAGGGCATCAGCGCTGTGGTGCAGGATGTAAACATCCGGCAGTACATTGAACAACAACACGCTGAAGTGACCAGGCTGCAGCCGGCTGGACAGGGTCAAGGTCCGGGTCAGCCGTTGGGTCTCGGTCAGCCACCTTTGCTGCGACGTTCTGTCTGGCTGGAGGCGGGTGCAGTCAACCTGAACCTCATCACGGCAGATATTGCCCTGGCTGCTGACCACCCAGCCAAATGTGAAGTGCAGAGGCAATTTCTGGAACTGCACGATGCTCAAACCAAAAGGTAGAAGAAAACAAATCTAAGCATTTTGTTTTCCAAGCCACTATTTAAAAAAAGAAAAAAGTTTGATTTGTTTTTTTGTTTTTTTTATCTCAGCTTTCCAGCAGTGCGGTCACTAGCACCCATGAGATAAATGGGAGACCAATAATTGCAGGTTTTGGAGAATGTAAAAGCTGACATTTCTTTTCAGAGGGGGACTGACTCACACTTTGAATCACACTCCTCTAGAATGTGTCACCGAGACAGTTGTGAAGCTATTCAACTCATTTACATGTTGTTCATTGTATTTCGTCATTTACAGTATCCTGACTCATTAAACATGATATCAGACTAGAGTTTTGGTCACTTGCTGTGATTCTGAATGGAATAATTAAGAATCTGTTAAGGAACCAGTGCTAGTGAAGTGCTTTGTTTTCAGTCTTATATTCCAGCATGTGTATTATTACTGTAGGTAAATGTTACAGGTACATTTTATTGTCAAGGTCTCAGTATGAATGACTGGATAAAATCAGGCGTACAGCAGGGAAAGAAAACCTTTTTTTTTTTTTTTTCTTTCAGCTAAGAAAGAGAGCCCCAAAACTATTTTTCTTATTTACTCAATTTCTCTTATTTTATTCACTCCTCTTTTCCTCAGACTCTGGTTCCTGTGGCCAGAGGATGCCAGCATTCGGAACAAGCGAAACAGGAACCGCTGTGGCTGCCTCGGTGGCTGCAGGTTCTTTGGAGGTACCAACATGGGGCTGGACTTCTTCAAGCTAGAAGATCTGACGCCCTCCTCCTCATCTGCATTCTCTTCATCCAGCACCGAGTCAGACATGTGTTACGGCCAATCTTTGCTACAGCCTGGGGAGTGTATCATTACAAAGGAAACGCCCAAAGTGGATGGTAAGATTTATTCTTTATTTTCTACTATCAACAAGAGTGACTCTCCTTTTAAGGAAAACAATAAAGAATAATTGCAATCTTTTTAATTCATAAGCAAATGAAATGGAACCTCTCTGACTAAACAAGACCCTGCAGGAAGAATGCGTTTCCTTTTCTGTTCAAGGTTCGATGACTGAGGGTGTTTTAGATAAACAATATGTTGATGTACATACATTTTTAATCCCTCTCATTTAGGAGGGAAGGCGGTTGGACTGAAAACAGACACACACTCTCCTTGTCTGCCTCCTGAGCTGCCTGAGAGACATGGTCAGCAACACCTGAGTCTCCAGGTGCCCCAACGATCCCACAGCTCGGCCTCTTCCTCTGAAGAAAACAGCTCCTCCAGTGCTGCCTTACCCTTACTGGCAGGAGAGAGAGATTCCCCCTCGCCAAGCACAGAGGAACGTGTGTTCCCCATGAATGGCAAAAGCCCTGCTGAGTGAGTAGCACATTCATGCAATTTACTGTGGTCCAAAAATTCTGAACCCCAAATATTGAACTCTTCTAGTTATGTTCATGTATTAGATATAAAGTGTTGAAGTTTTCCCTCTATATATTTCCTGTCATGCCTCCTGAATGCTGCATTTTCCCCGGTTTCTTTGCAGCACCCTAGGGGAAGTCCCAGAAGTATCACCGGTCTCACCCAACAGCTCCCAGGACCGCTCCTCAGTGCGCTCACCCCTCTGCTCTCCTCTCAAGCGTCAGTCCTCTGTGCACTCTGGTCGGCTGGGCAGCACCAAGAGCCTGTCGGCGGCCGTTTTCACAGATAAGCCGCCACCGGTGTTGTCTGGAGGCGTGCAGTTCAGCAGCGAGGTTTCCCGCAGCGATGAGAACGTCTTGGATTCCCCCCATCAGCGTAGAAGCTACGGCTCCTTTCCCTTCACGCCATCAGCGGACTCGAACACCTTCCATCAGTACCGCTCTGCCGACTCCAGCATGTCAGTGGCCGACAGCGAGGCCTACTTCTCCGCTGCTGAGGACTTTGAGCCAATCAGCAGCGCTGACGAGGGACCGGGGACTTACCCAGGACGCAAAAAGAAGAGGAGGCAGCAGATGCAGCAGCCTCAGCAGCCACCGTATCACATGGAGAACTACAGGTCAGATGAGATGATGACATACTTTAGAAAATGGAGCGTGCAATATTCTCCAAATGTCGCTAAGCCCCAGGGAAGCTTGCAAAAGTTCTCAAAGTTAAAGAGTTTGAAAATTTGAGAGCGAGAGCATGGTCAGATCATGTACAAGGTTAAGCATGGGGATTAAGGAGATGGTAGACTGAAGACAGCTCACAGTAACATCAAAGAGTCTCTCATTTCTCCTCTCTAAGAGCAGATGAATTAATGACCTGTCTAAAAAAAGTTCTGACCTTGCTGCATTTCTTTCAAAGTGCTGCCCCTTTTAAATAATAATAATGAGCAGTTGTAAAGAATTTGTTTTAATATATATTGTACATGTTAAGATTCAAACTGTTGAAATACACCAAGAGAATGAGTGGTTTCACTTGAAGTTTGAAGGTAGCTGGAGTTGGAAGCAAATTCAGAGACCTTTTAAAAACAAGTAACTAGAAGACCTTCAATCTTTACAATGATTGTAAAATGGCTCGATTCAGCTATGAGTTAGAATACTTGAACCGTGTTACGCAATTTTTATCTTTAATACCAAACTAGTTGCAAATATCAATGTGTAAAGCAACTTGGCCTGAAGGTAAATACGGTGCAGCTTTATTTTATTACTGCGATTCAATCATGCATGCACGGCTGAACGTCATGGAGGGGATTTGAACAAATGAGATGTTTGATCCACGGCAGCCACTCACTGCAGGTATGTTTCGCAAATTGGATTTCGCTCTCGTTCTGAAACTACCTCCTCATTTCTCTGCTGCCATAAATTGCCCTCGCATTGATTTCAGCACGCTTTTTTTGATTGATACAGCGTCCACGAAAACATAAATAATCGATTCGCTCTCGTGAAAAGTTTCACTCGTGGAAACTATGAAAGCATAAAGCTGAATTCAAGAGCATAAAACTGCACACGGACGTTCTCAACATTTTGGTTCACAACTAAGCTTTCAAAGGATTTTTGCTTTTAGATGAAATGAAAGACCGTTTTGCACCAAAACACTGACATCTTTTTAATCACTTGACAAATTAATTTGAGTCCTTTTTATTCATATTTTGTCCTCCCACAGCCGAAGCTCCATCTACCACAGTGTTGAGGGTCCCCTCACGTACGTTCTCAATGGGGAGCTGATCACTGAACCACGTCCTCTGCCGATGCCTCCTACACTCCCTCCACTGCCGCCTCAGCCCCTGCCCAGCCACACATCTCAGGCCTCCTTTGTCTCAGCCCTGGCAATGGAGGAGGAAAGCTCAGTGGAGGCAGAAAAGATGGCGGAACCGGGCCCGGTAACTCGACAGCCTCACGTCATGGCGTGTTACCAGAACTACCTAGCCCACTACCAGGTAAATTCTTTAGCATTACACCCCTGATGGAAAATTCGTTCATCTATAGCCTGACATTATGATTTGATTATTATCCCTATATTTAACTTTACCTCTGCTAGGTCTCAAATTGGTCTGTCAAACAACCCACCAATAAAAGAACCTCCAAGTCTTCGCTGCATCGCCCCCTTGATCTGGACACGCCTACCAGCGAGGAGAGCTCTGGCTCTTTTGACCAGCTCTCCATCCCAAGCTTTAAGGTCTTTATCTTAATAGTATTAGTCTTCATGTAGTGAGATTACTGACTCAGTCCACATGTATTATTTCCTCTGTAATGCTGTTAATGCTGGCATTGTGCCTCTATGTCCATTATTCACTCAGACCATCAGTTTAAGAATGGGCCTGTTTCTTATACATTACAGGTAATAAAGCACGGCCTCTCAGCCAGCTCGCTGTTAGACAGAGGTGTTCAGCTGATGGGTGAGAACAACAGGTATTTGACCTTAATCATTATCACTTCCAGTTGAAAAATTCTCATAGGAACGTGTGGGCTGTTTTTTTTTGTTTTGTTGTTTTTTTTTTGCTTTAAAATCATAGATTTTTCCAATAACTTTTAATTATGAAGTTACTGTATTGCCGCTCAGCTTCATGGCATTGTTTTCTTTTTATCAGCCAGTAATGTGTCAGCCACCATTACTAATTATACTCTACAACACACAAGTTGCAGTCCTTTGAGGTTGCAGCTTCTTCTATGTTTGCTTTAAGCTTTCTTCATATCTCTACAGTACCCCGTATACACCCCTGGATAAGAGGGCCATGGAGAACACAGATGAGGACACAACCACAGATGACTGGTCTCTGGAGCAGCCCCTAGCTCAGACCAGAACCACTGCCATTGTGGAGGTGAAAGGAGCCATCAACGTGGTGCTCACACCTCTTGTGGCTGAATCCCTGGACAGGTAGTTACGATGCTTATCAGACAGAGTTAGCTGGCCTGGAACATTTCTGTTGTCAGGCTGCCTCATTAGCCACATCTCCTTTAGAAATGGGTTTTTAATACTGGTCTGAAAAACCAGATTATAAAGATAATCTCACGACTGCCAAAAAACTCTTTCTCACACTGCACTTTCTTAGTTTCCGGTTATTTTTAGCCTGAGGCTAAGATTTGACCTTAAGCCAGTTTAATCCCTCTGCACAATGAAACTTGGATCTAAAATTCTGCTGACAGAGCTTCAGAGTCTGGTTCTTTTCTTGATTGTTTAGCAGTTGGAATCTTTAGTTTGCCAGAGGCCAGCAGCACTGGGTTGGAAATGTTCTAAAAGACATTAATCACTTGTTCAGTTTGGAGCCTTTACAGTTTTTTGCAGATAGATAAAACTTGTATCAACTCTTTCTATAAAACTAGAAGTTTTCTAATAGCTCTGTGTACTTGGTTTGTTTCAGGTACATCGAGTCCATGGCCCACTTTGCAAGCATCCGACACCCAGCAGCTATTCTGGATGACCTGCACGGGAAAGTCCTCAATGAAGCCTATCAGATCAGCAAATCTACCGTCACTGAGTCTGTAAGTACAGCAAGTCACAGCGCAGAGCAACAACAGCTTAATATTTAAAATGTTGAGAGATTTAATAAAATCACTGCCTTAGCTTAAAAGTGAGTAGAAGCGGGGTTTATTGCCTGTTGACTCTTGTCCCTCTATTTTGGGTCTGGATCCGCACAGAGCCAAACAGGCAAGCAGGAGCATAAGCTGTCCAAGACGGAGGGCACGACCCCTGGTTCCCTAAACATCTCCCATGGCCAGACAGACCTGTCCGTCAAACCAGATAATGTGAAAATCAAGGGCCTCCAAGCCAACGTGTCCATCCCCAAGGTGAGACCTGTGACCCAGAATAATGAGAGGCCAGTGGCTGTCCTAAAAAATATGCTCTAGCCACAAGGGGTCGGGAGCAAGCACAGAATCATGAGCACTACTGCAGATCCCTTTATACTGAAACAATGAATATGCAGTAGTTTCTGATTTAGTGTGGAGTATTTTAATAACAGCTTAGTGTTATTTAGCTGCTTGTTTATTATTTTCATTTTACTGTGGAGCTATAGATTTGGAAACATGGCCCTTTCCGAAGTTTCAGACGCCATTAGATTATACAAGCATTTTACAATTCCTCTGAATGGAATGTGTATGACTACTTAAACGACTACTATCATACTTTGTCTTGTTATTCTGGACACAAGTATTTCTGAATGTTTGATTTTGAAGAGCAATGTTTTTCCCACACAGCATTTAACTTCAAGTTGGATTTGTGTTTCTTTCTCTTGTTGTCTTTTATGTGCAGGTGAACCTTTGCCTCCTGCAGGCCTCTGTAGAGGAAGGGTCACCATCTTGCTCCAGTAAGAGTGTCACACATGTGTCTCTAGTGGCACTATGCTTTGACAGGATTGCCACCCAGTTCAGGATGAACAGGTAATGCCTCCAGCTCTTGTCATGACATTGTATGTGTTTGTGTGCTTACAGTCTTACAGTGACTAAGCTTTTTGGAGTGTGTATGCCCGGGGCAAATATCCTCGTTTGACACGCTCGGTTTGACACACTCCATCACGTTTGGTTGTTGGATTGCTTTTTTTATATATATATATA